ATATTAGAATCTTTATTAACAATAATCCAATTCTAATATTTCTTCTTTATAATATAATATTCAAACTTACCTTAATCGATTTCTTAGAAACATTCCGATATAATACTTGAAGATATAAAGGAAAGATTCTAAGTAATGTTTTTGTAATAAAAAATTTGAAAAATGAAAGAATATCTTGAAAAAGTTTTCTTAAAAGAATTAATATACTAATTAATGTTAATATTAACAGAAACTGTTGAATATAGCCAGTTTCGTGGCGTATATAATGCATGTGCAGGGCACAGCTAGCGGCCGCTAGCCTAGCGTACGTATACATATAGTTTCTTCGAAAACTCTCTCTTTTAATATTCTTCAAGTCAGCCAACAAATATTGAACCCATTATATAATATCCAGTTTATGTGATTTATTATTTAATTATATTTAATCCATAATTCAATAGGTTATAAGCCTGGAAGCATTAAACTAATAGGTGAGTTCTTATATAGTTAATTCACTTTCTAATTTGAAACCTAACAAAATCCAATATACTTTATCGCATAATTTTCATTACTACTTTATTAATAATCTATAGCAAAAAACCAGACAAAACAAAATAAAATCACAATTAAAACATAAGCTCAAATTACTTGTATCACAAAAGAAAATATCGCAAAAAATCAATGTTTTAAATAATATAATCAAAGATGCAAAATTAAATCTATATACGATTCGATTATTATTATTATAGTATTTTCTTTATTATAGAATCCGGATACATTCAGTTCCGAATCGGAAGAAGAATACTAGGATCTCTCTATATTTACAATTGAAGACGAAATATAACAATCTCTATATCGTTTAGAGATAAATCAAATTGAACTCAATAAAGTTGATAAATCTGTTTATATACTAGTTATATAATTGTATATCAATATTGGTTTATTGTAATCAATAGTCACAATAATCAATAAGAGCATATAATAATCTAATAATTCGAATATAGATAGGAAACTAATATCTCAACTCAAACATTATATTTTTTAATTAGAACTATATCAAAAGAACAGCTTAGACAATAAGATTTATAGGATTATTGCCTTCAACAATCTTATTTTTCAATCGAGGTCTCACCTAAAGGGAATAGAGAATTTTGAATCTTGGTTAAAGAATATACAGGATATAGCTAAGATGAATAATCTAACTCTCAGTATTCGAAATAATATTAAAAAACCTAAAGATTCTTATATCAAAAAAAGATATTAAAGGAAAAGGTATTGTCTCAATCGTTGAAAAGATTGGATTATAGAATACCTGGAAGTTATTGAATTCCAAGATATAGTTTTGTATTAGAAACTTAGTTTAAAAGAATCCTGCCTTAGTAATTAAAGGAATTGAAATAGCAATAGAAATACTTAAGATATTAAAGAATTATTATCAAGGTATCGATTACTATTTAAGTAATAACCAATAATAATATTTCCTAATTATAGAATTAGATGATTATGATTCTATTAATAAATTTGTTATAGATTATAAGTCAATACTTTCTAAGATAACAGATTTGGATATAATCTTTTGTAATAAGATTCATTATATTCAGTTTATTTCGAAGACAAGCAAATATCTATTAATTTGAACAGATTGGTATTTTGTTTTAACTCAAACTATTGAAAAGATCTTTATATTCAAAGAACTTATAACTGATTTTGTTAATAAAATACAAAAAAATGGCAATGACAATTCAGGCTTGATTCTGTATAATAATCATACTCGAGGTATAGAACAAAATAGTAATAACTATAATAAAGACTAAAAAAAAAGCAAAGACAAACGAAATAGAAATGTTGAAAGCAAAATCAATATCTATATCTATAATTATTATAGAAAACAAAACATTATATTTAAGTATATTAAAGACTATGTGTGACCAAAAGGGTATAAACAGGACTCCGATTGTGTACTTAGAATCTACAAGTGAAGAGCTATGTAGGATGCT